TTTAGTACAACAGAAAGTGTTAAGTTTGTGACCTTCGCTAGATTGCTCTGGTCACTAGTGTGGATAAGTATGTAAATGGATAGAGACATGAAAGCAAACACAAGATGTACGTGATTTACCCAGATTGGCTACGTCCACGGAGTAAAGGAGTTCTCATTAATTGTGAAGGGTTTACACAAGTACATAGGTTCAAGCTCTCCTTTTGTGAGTACTAGTGAATGATTTAGTATAAATGACATTAGGAAATATTGTGAGAGAATGATATCTATTTATAGAAAAGAGTTTCTAGTTTCATTCTGACATTGACACGTGTCGTGTTGTGATTGGCTTCTAATGTTGACATGTGTCGCGCTATGATTGGCTTCTGACGTCGACACGTGTCGTATTGTGATTAGCCTCCTGGTTGGAGGGAAACGCTTCTAGGTCCTTGACGGTATAACGTTGACCAATGCTCAGTAGTTTCGGGATTGGTCAAGTATGGTACAAACATAGTTTTTAGTGGTATAAAATTGTTAAAAGTGACACCATTCATACTTTATGTCGCTTAAAAACGACACCAGTATTTAAAAATTATTAAAATGAATGTTTACGTTGGTTTAAAAGCGACATAGACATTTTATGACACTTATAAGCGACAGTAAATCTGAAGTCATGTTCAATTAGTGTTGTAACTGTCTTATCCGCCACTATATTATATTAAACCGACACCACCCACTAACACTATAAAACCCTTTTGTAGTAGTGCCGGCTAGGTAAGTTTGTTTACCTTTGTAAATTACCATTGTGGTTGCTGGACGTTGTGTGATGAAAATTATGTGATTTTTCCAAGGTTTTATGGACGGGAACAGTACGGGGGAAACTAACCCATATTTTCTGGCGAATTCATGATTTTCGAGGATTCTTTCCGAGTTCTCACGGCTGTTCACGGCAAAACTAGGGTATGGAAAATACTCCACTCTCTTCCCTCTTCATTTTAGTAATTGGTTTTGGTAGTAGTTTACACGTTCGCCGTCGATCGGAGCTACAACAACTCTAATGTTCTTCCCCGATTGCACCTAAGCCACCCAGTCCTTCATGCCTTCTCAAACAACCTCGGGCCTTAGCCCAGTCTTGGACCAACCCATTTTCTTCCCTTTTGATTTGTTGTCTTGCGGGTCATGCCTGTGCATGGAGTATGTGTGTGTGATTGGGCCGTGCCCTGCATGGGCCATGTGTGTGTGTGTTTTGGGATGTATGTGCGAGTGTGTGGTGTGTGTTATGTTGTGCATGTGTGTGTTGTGTGAGTGTGTGTCCGTGTGTGCGTGTGTGGGTGTTGTACCCACGTGTGTGTGCATATGCTGTGTATGTGTGTGTGTGTGTGTGTGTGTGTGTGTGTGTGTGTGTAGGCTGTGTATTATGTGGGCTGTGTGTGTGTGTGTAGGCCCCATGTATGTGCACAGGCCGTGTGTGTGTGTACAGTGCGTGTGTGTGTGTACAGTGCGTGTGTGTGAGTGTGGGTTTAGGTTTAAGCCTAAACCACTCTTTTTCACCCCAAACCCTTTTAACCCAAAAATCATATGATCCTAAAACCCGTTAGACCTTAACCCATTCAAACCAAATCCTTTATTTTATTTAGTTCAAGTCCAAATCCTTTAGAAAATCCTTTTATTTATTTATTACATTTTTGTGCTTAGGTGAAGTTGCTAGTGAGGGAATTCATAATCCTTATCCGCACAACTCTACTGCTAAGGAGTATCTGTGAGTGGACCCTTTCTAAAATTTGCATAATTTCATAGTTTAATTGCATAAATGAAATGCATGCCTTACGAATTATTAACTGATTTTATGTTAAGCAGATTTATGAAATATGTTATTTATCGTCTTGTTTTTTGTGAGGAATTAATTGTTGGCCTATATTAAGTTATATTTTAAAATATCGTATTTTCTATAAAAATCATGAACTGGTAGACTATCTGATGGATGACGATAGGATGCTAGAACATGTTTTAGAAACCCCTCTTTATAGTATAGATGATGAATGACTTTATACTATGAAGTTGTTATTTATGAGAGGCGTAACTATTTGTGCGTACCTAGTGGACACTATGCCGTCTGGGGCGAGGATCTGGTGTTGGCAGTTAGGCCGGGAGAAGTTGTGAAATCCCATCCCCGGAATTTCACCATTTATTACGTATTTCGTAAATTGAAATTCGTATTTCGCGATTATGTTATCTTTATTAGTTAATTTTAATTCCACTAATTATAAGTTCAGTAATTGATTAGTTATCGAGTTGGAAGTTTCATAAACAATCTTTATCTTTCGTTGACATTTCGAAGTTACAACTAGTGTTTTTAAATAAATCTTGAACCCACGAATGCATAGGCTAAAGTTCCGAATTATAACGGTATACTTACAGACGTTTGAAGTGGTGAAACTTTAGATGTGGGAATCATTTTAATTTCCACTTATGGGTAAAAGACCCAAACCCCTTTTTGGATTAATGGACTGGCTATTATAAGTGGAATTGGGCAATTTAGGTGGTGGAAAAAGGTTAGGCAGCAGCCACTAATAAGGGGACCCAGCAGATTTTTTTTAAAGGATGAGAAAGGATCAATAAGGAGGAGAGGTTGACACCACCAGCAGACTTTTTTCATTTGGTGAACCCGCATACCACCACCAACCTTTTTTTATTTTCAAACCGGCCAATTTTAGGCCTACTATTTCTCTTCGATTTTTCCTATCTCCTTCACCTACAACTTGCTCAACTACCTTTCTCCTTCTCTCTCGACCAAAAATCAAGGGTTTTTAAGGTCTATTTCATGTAGAACTCCATAAGAGAACTCGGAGGTTCTCGACGACGAATTATCATTCCGGAGAGTATCACCATTCACCATCACCCTTAATCAACTTCCCTTGGACCCAAGAACAAGACCCAACTGGTGCTTGGAGCGTTGGAACACCAAGGAAGCCGAATTAAAGAACACCCACCTTAGGATTTCGTTGGGTGCGAACCAATTTGAGGGCCTTCCTAGCCAAATTGGACTCGGCCACATGTATAAAGTTTACTCTACTTGTTGAAATCTTCATTCTAGTAAAATTTGAGAATTTTTGGAAAAAGTTGAATTTTCCGATATGTGACATTCGATTTATGAAAATGCTGTTGATTGTATATATTATCGATAAGGTCTGCCACTTGATTATTCTAACAATTGACAATCTTATCATTGAATTGAGACAATATTTTAATATGCTATTGTAGATATTGTTTAAGGACCTTAGGGACTTCTAAGTGAAAATCTAGTGATTGGATTTTATGAAGCAAATGGCGTAAGATCATGGACCCTACATTAGAACGACGGTTGATTCCTCATTAAATGTTATTGTGGGAGACATATGAGAATTTTTGAGTATGTGAATTATCGAAGGAAATCTAAACGTGGACTTGTGCTTTGTTAGGCGGTGATAAAACGTGATGCCTTGACTATCGTGCTAGGGTACATTAGCATGGACTCCAGGTGAGTGACTTTAATATATGTGATATTGGTAATTACCAGGTTGTCATAATTATGATCCTGTGTGGATATGAATTGGTTTTATGAATATGTTCTATTGAATGGTTATTCCAATACTTCGACATCAATTTATGTTTATGAACTGGGGTGGCATGTATATTGGAAATGTGGTTTGATTTGTATGATTGGCATGTTGAGATTGACTAGTAATGATCGTGAACCATTATGATAGGGATTTGTTGCTTCGATTTTTTTTTCACCTTCCACTTCGGTGATTGGTTCTAAATTTAGTAATTGTGCCTAATCTCCCATTTGTTGAGTTTTTATAAATTAAGTAGTCTGTGTTTGTCTCATTTCTTTGTGTCGTCGTACATTCTGGTTGTTGGTCTTATGCGATTCCGTTGAGTGATGGTCCGGAATCGTATCCACTCGGATTCCGTTGAGAGATGGTCAGGAATCCCTTCTATTCTGCAATTCCGTTGAGTGATGTTCCGGAATCGTATCTAACTTAAGTTTCATTTAGTTATTGTTATGTATTATACTTAGTGATTTCATTGAGTGAGGGTCTGGAATCGTATCCACTTGGATTCCGTTGAGCGATGGCCTGGAATCCTTTATATTGAGCAATTCCGTTGAGTGAAGGTCCGGGATCTTACTCACCTTGGGATTTATTGAATTTGAATTGAGTTGGCTTCAAAGGGGTAGGCTTCGGCCAAACTGCGTCCCTCTAACTCTACTTTTCATTGTGTTGTTTGAGAAGATGGTTGTGAGATGTTGTGATTGGTTTCAGATGAACCGTTGGATGTTTGGGTGACTCCTTCGGGGTTTGCAAAAGTTGATATTGATTTCTTATGAATGATTTATATTCAAGATATGTAAATTGTGTTTGATGGTTGGCATTAGCATTATTCTCACATACTTGATATTATTGTCACTCTCATAAGCTTCGCAACTTATCCAGGTTGTTGTTTGCCTGGTGCACCATTTCGATGGTGTAGGCACTGATCGTACAGGTGACAGGTTTGAGTGGACTCCGAGAAGTTTGTAGGTGGGGGTATCAGTGCAGTTATCAGAAACTTGGAGCGTTAGGTTACCATTGTTTCACTCTTGTACTTTATCTTTTGGGACTTTCTTTTGAGCACCTCATACTTGTTCTTAGTAAAGGAAAAATTATGCTTCTTTTTTTGGATGTTCATATTTGTAAATATTTTGTGGAGAACTTAGCCACCTTTACATTATTTGGGTTATCAGTTAAAGTATTTCATTCCGTAACTTATACTGTATGCAATGAGCATTATTTTCCTTGTCACGTGTCGATTTTCAACGTATGTTGGGATTGGGACGTGACAATTTTTGTGGTATCAAACCTTAGGTTTAGGGTTTCATACCTTAACCTTAGAGTGAGGAAGCATTGGGAAGGTTGGGTAGTGAACCTTTACTAGGTCCGTGAATTCGTCTCTCAAATGTTGATTATATGCTTATGTTGAATTCTTCTTGTATCAGACATTATGACGACCCCACACGATACTACTCAGCAGTTTGGGGATCATGTTTCAGACGAGGGCCCTTCTGGTTCTGGTCAGGAGGCTAGCTATGATTATGATGGACCTGATGGAGCTTTTCGGGCCATCGAAGATTTAACACAGTTGACGCAGGCACACGTTCGTGCGACTCCTGGTAGGGAGAAGTCTTTGTACGAGGAGTTCTGTACCCATAAGCCACATTCTTTCGATGGTAGTACTGATCCGTGGGCGGCGGAGTCCTGCATCAATCAGATCGCCAGAATTTTCACTGTACTGATTTGCTCATCCGAAGAGCAGGTTGATCTTGTAGCGTATATGTTGACAGATGAGGCTTACGAGTGGTGGCAAATCACTCGTCCATTATTAGTAGCCGGGGGACCTCTTACTTGGGAGCGGTTTCAGACTGCATTCTTTGAGCAGTACTTCCCAGAGTCATTCCGAGATGAGTTGGAGGCTGAGTTTGCCACTGTTGAGCAGGGAACTGATACTGTTGCTGATTATGTGGCCCGTTTTACTCAACTTTACCATTTCTCTCAGCCTCTTCCTGAAGATAAGAAAATGAAGAAACTTATTAGGGGGTTCAAGCCTAGTATCAGAAATCTATTATCGGTCCAAGGATTGCCTTCTTACACCCAGGCGATTGATCGTGCATGCACAGCTGAGATTAATGAGGGGCACGATGCACGAAAGAGTGGGGAATAGAGAAAGAGGGGCCGGTCAGATGGCCGGTCATCTGATGCGTTTTCTGGTCGGTTCTGAAAACGCCAAGGGTTCTCGTTTGGTGGTTCTTATGGATCGTCACATAGTGGGTATTAAGATACTTCTCGTGGAGATTTTCAGGCTACTTCTATAGGAGGCTCCCAGCATTCTACTAGGACGAGTCATCAGGGTTGTTTCCGAAGAGGTACTCAAAGCGCGTTCAGGCGTGGAAACTAGGTTTCTTCTGGAGGCCGTTCAGAAAGCCTTTCGAGGGGATCTTATGACCAGTCACATAAGACACTTCCACGGATTTGTGCTTATTGTGGACGCCGACACAAAGGCACATGTAGAGCCAGTTCTAAGACTTGTTGCCGGTGCGATGATATTGGTCACTTATTTCGTGATTGTTTCCAGATTATTGCTAATGGTGCTGGCAGACCTGCTGCTAGTGTTGGGGGTTCAGTGGCATCTTCAGCACAGAGTAGGCCTGCTGAAGCACCTTCAGGCTCGGGCCAGCAGAGGACTGGGTAGTAGAGTGGTAGGCAGTCTGGTGGAAATTCTCAGCGAGTTGGGGCCCAGAACAGTGGAGCTGGGACGTCTCAGGTAGGTACTAAACGAGTTGGCAGAGTCTGTGCATTATCTACTTTGGAGGCCGAGGCAGAACTGAACACAGTTACAGGTACTATTCATTTTGATTCACTTCATGATAAAACATTATTTGACCTTGGGGGCGAGAACTCATTTATATCAAATAATTTTGTGAAGTCTTTGGATAAACCTATAAAGATGATGGATGTGACGTACTCTATTTCCTCACCTTTTTCGGGACCTTATGTTGTTAATCAAGTAGTTCGATCGTGTGAGGCTCATGTGGGCCCGGGTGAAATAACAATGGATTTGATGATTCTTCCGATGCAAGATTTAAATGTCATTATTGGCATGGATTACTTATCATTGTATCGCGCGAATTTTGATTGCTTTGAGAAAGTGGTAACTTTTCGACCACTTGGTAAACCTCAGTTTCAGTTTGTTGGGGATCATAAACCTATTCCACCACCAGTAATGATATCGGCCGTTAAGGCTAGGCAATTTATGAAACATGGTTGTCAGGGTTATCTAGCTCATGTCATGGCCATTGATCAAGGAAATAGAGAGGTTAACACCATCTCGGTAGTTAAGGAGTTTCCTGATGTGTTTCCTATTGAGCTGTCTGGCTTGCTCATAGTGAGGGAAATTGAGTATACCATTGATCTTATGCCAGGGACCACGCCTATCTCTAAGGCTCCGTATCAAATGGCACATTTGGAACTTACAAATGGCACCTTTGGAACTTAGGGAGCTTAAGGTACAGTTACAGGAATTGTTGGATAAATGTTTAATTCACCTTAGTGTTTCACCATGGGGTGCTCCTGTTCTTTTTGTGAAGAAAAAGAATGGATCTATGCGTTTGTGCATTGATTATCGTGAGCTTAATAAGGTGACAGTCCAAAATAAGTACCCTTTACCGAGGATTGATGACTTGTTTGATCAACTTTAAGGTGATCAATATTTTAGTAAGTTAGATTTAAGGACTGGTTATCATCAATTGAGGATCCGAGATAAGGATATAGCAAAGACAGCTTTTCGGACTTGCTATGGCCATTATGAGTTCTTGGTTTTACCGTTTGGTCTGACTAATGCCCCTGCTGCGTTCATGGACTTGATGAATAGGGTGTTCCAACCTTTTATTGATCAGCTTGTGGTAGTGTTTATCGATGACATTCTGATTTATTCACGGAGTGCAACTGAACATGAGGAACATCTAAGACTTGTTTTGCAGACGATGCGAGATCATCAGTTGTATGCTAAGTTTATCAAATGTGAGTTTTGGTTGGAAAGTGTTAGATTCCTTGGCCATGTGATTTCAAGGGATGGTATTCAGGTGGATCTTACCAAGGTAGAGGCAGTTGTCGATTGGAGTCGACCTACCACGGTGACTGAGATTCAAAGTTTTCTGGGCTTAGCTGGATATTATCGTAGATTTATTGAAGGTTTTTCATCATTGGCACTTCCTCTGACAAAGCTGACAAAGAATGATACTCCTTTTGTTTGGGATGATGAGTGTGAGACTAGTTTTGAGGAGTTAAAGAAGAGACTCGTCTCTGCACCTGTTCTTAAGCTTTCATCTGGTTCTGGAGGTTTTGTAGTATACACGTATGCGTCCCATAAAGGATTAGGTTGCATTCTAATGCAGCACGGTAAGGTTATGGCTTATGGTTCTTGCTAACTTAAACCGCATGAACTTAACTATCCCACCCATGATTTAGAACTAGCTGCGATGGTTTATGCATTAAAGCTTTGGTGACATTATCTATATGGGGAGTCTTGTGAGATTTATGCTAATCATAAGAGCCTCAAGTATATTTTCACCCAGCGAGAACTAAACTTGCGACAAAGACGTGCGTTGGAGCTGGTGAAATATTATGATTGTCAGATTCTCTATCATCCTGGTAAGGCGAATGTAGTGGCTGATGCCTTGAGTCGAAAACGCTTAACTAATGTTGCAGCTTTATCATTTCAGGTTGGTCAGTTAGCAGAGGATCTTAAGAGAATGGAGATTGAACCGATTAATCAGGGTGAGATCATCTCATCGCAGCCCTTACTGTACAACCTACGTTGATTGATTAGATTCAAGCAACCCAAGGTGAGGACCCGGAGTTAGTTCAGATCATGGATGGAGTACGATCAGGTACTCGGTCCGATTTTTCCATTTCTGACAGTGGTGTACTTCGTTTCGAGACTCGACTTTGTGTTCCGAATGTCAGAAACCTACGAAAGGAGATCACGGAGGAGGCTCATACTTCCCCTTTTTCCGTTCACCCTGGGAGTACAAAAATGTATCGAGATCTTTGTAAGAGTTTCTGGTGGGGAAATATGAAACGAGAGATTGCTGAGTTCGTCGCTCATTGCTTGACTTGTCAACAAGTTAAGGCAGAGCATCAGCGGCCTGTGGGCTTACTTCAGTCACTCCCTATTCCCGAGTGGAAATGGGAGAACATTGCCATGGATTTTGTGACAGGCTTACCGAGGACTCGTGAGGGACATGATTCCATTTGGGTGATTGTCGATCGATTGATGAAATCTGCTCACTTTATTGCTGTTGAGAAAACTTATACTCTTGACCGACTCACCAAATTATTTTTAGATGTGATTATTAAGTTGCATGGAGTCCCGGTATCCATCATTTATGATCGTGATCCTCGTTTCACTTCTTGCTTTTGGGTAGCCTTCATAAAGCTATGGGAACTAAGTTGAGTTTTAGGACAGCTTTTCATCCTCAAACTGATGGCCAGTCAGAGCTCACAATTCAGACATTGGAGGATATGCTTCGAGCTTGCATACTTGATTTAAAAGGTAGTTGGGATAAACATTTATCTTTGATTGAATTTGCTTATAATAACAGCTACAAGGCTAGTATTCAGATGGCACCATATGAGGCACTTTATGGAAGGAAGTGTAGGTTTCCTTTATATTGGGACGAGGTAGGAGCGTCGATTATTGGGACCAGAGTTAATTCAGATTGCTGCAGAAAAGATTTCTATGATCCGTGCGCATTTATTAGTTGCTCAGAGTAGATAGCAGAGTTATGCTAATCCCCACAGACGTGAGGTAACATTCGATACTGGAGAATATGTTTTCCTACGGGATTCACCTATAAAAGGTGTTTTTAGATTTGGGCGTAAAGGGAAGCTTAGTCCAAGATACATTGGACCATTTGAGGTATTGGAGAGAGTGGGCGAAGTTGCCTATCGCCTTGCACTACCTCCAGAGTTGTCTCACATTCACCCAGTGTTCCACGTATCCTTACTCCGGAGGTATCGTAGTGATCTTTCCCATGTCAATTCTTATGAGCCTATTCAGGTCAAGGAGAATCTCACTTATGAGGAGTACCCCGTTGAAACTATTGATCGGAGAGAGAAAGCTCTCCACACCAAGACTATTTCATTGGTACGCGTATTATGGAACAATCATGGTGTGGAGGAATCAACTTGGGAACCAGAGGTAGAGATGCGCCAACATTATCCCCATCTATTTAACTCAGGTGCGTTGAGTTTAGGGGATTAAACTCTTTTTATGGGAGGAAGGATGTGAAATCCCATCCCTGGAATTTCACCATTTATTACGTATTTCGTAATTTAAATTCGTATTTCACGATTACGTTATCTTTATTAGTTAATTTTAATTCCACTAATTATAACTTTAGTAATTGATTAGTTATCGAGTTGGAAGTTACATAAACAATCTTTATCTTTCGTTGACATTTCGAAGTTACAACTAGTGTTTTTAAATAAATCTTGAACCCACGAACGCATAGGCAAAAGTCGTTTACGAGTCTGAATTATAACGGTATAGTTACGAACGTTTGAAGGGGTGAAACTTTAGATTGTGGGAATCATTTTAATTTCCACTTATGGGTAAAAGACCCAAACCCCTTTTTGGATTAATGGATTGGCTATTATAAGTGGAATTGGGCAATTTAGGTGGTGGAAAAAGGTTAGGTAGCAGCCACTAATAAGGGGACCCAGCAGATTTTTTTTAAATGATGAGAAAGGGTCAATAGGAAGGAGGAGAGCTTGACACCACCAGCAGACTTTTTTCATTTGGTGAACCCGTGTACCACCACCAACCCCTTTTTATTTTCAAACTGGCCAATTTTAGGCCTACCATTTCTCTTCTGATTTTTCCTATCTCCTTCACCTACAACTTGCTCAACTACCTTCCTCCTTCCCTTTCTACCAAAAATCAAGGGTTTTTAAGGTCTATTTCATGTAGAACTCCATAGGAGAACCCGGGGGTTCTCGACGACGAATTGTCATTCCGGAGAGTATCACCATTCACTATCACCCTTAATCAACTTCCCTTGGACCAAAGAACAAGACCCAACTGGTGCTTGGAGCGTTGGAACACCAAGGAAGCCGAATTGAAGAACACCCACCTTAGGGTTTCGTTGGGTGCGAGCCAAT